TCACAAGATGCGAATTGCTAGCTGTGGTAAAGTCGTTGCAGCATTTTAGCAAATATCTTCTGGGGCGAAAATTTCACTTATGAACTGACCATGCTGCACTAAAATGGCTATTGCAGTTTAAAAATCCAGAAGGACAAGTTGCGAGGTGGATTGAACTACTGCAGGAATACGACTTCGAGATCGAACATCGCAACGGGAAATCTCATGGCAACGCAGATGCATTGTCAAGAAGATCTTGTCCTGAAGATTGCAAACATTGTACTAGGCAAGAGAGTAAGGAAGTGGTATCCGTGAGGATGCTCAGGGCAGACCACCTCAGCAACGAGTGGAAGGACAGCTTACAACGTGCACAGCAGGAAGATCCGGACATCAAGCCGATCCTGGAATGGATGAAGGCCAGTGCTCCCAAGCCCAAGTGGAGCGACGTCTCAGCGATGAGTTCGACCACTAAAAGCTATTGGGCCCAGTGGGACAGCTTGCTGCTTCAGGATGGAGTTCTGTGCCGTAAAAGGGAAAATGTTCGGGGAGACAGCTGTCATTTACAAATGGTTGTCCCTAAACCTAAAGTACCGGATGTTCTACAGCTGTACCATAATGATTATTCAGGAGGCCATCTGGGAGTTAAACGAACTCTACTGAAGATCCGAGAACGGTTTTACTGGGTCCACTGTCGAAACGATGTCGAGAACTGGTGTCGCAAATGTACAAGTTGTGCGGCTGTAAAGGGACCTCAGACTCGTAGTAGAGGTGCATTGAAGTTGTACAATGTTGGTGCACCATGGGAGAGAATAGCCATTGACGTGGCGGGGCCGTTTCCGGAGAGTGAAAGCGGTAACAGGTATTTCATGGTTGTGATGGATTACTTCACTAAGTGGCCAGAAGTCTTCGCCATTCCAAATCAAGAAGCTTCAACAGTTGCTGATAAGCTAGTTCATGAAGTCTTCTGTCGTTTTGGTGTACCTTTAGAGATTCACAGCGATCAAGGAAGAAATTTTGAGTCTCAAATATTCCAGGAAACTTGCCGAGTTATGGGTACTCATAAAACAAGAACGACTTCTTATCACCCGCAATCTGATGGAATGGTAGAACGATTTAATCAGACATTGGAGAGGTACCTAGCAAAAGTTGTAGACAATCGGCAACGAGATTGGGACAAGCACATACAACCGTTTTTGTTGTCATATCGAAGCGCTGTTCACGAAAGTACATCAGTGACACCAGCTTTCACAAACTTTGGAAGAGAATTACGGCTGCCTGCAGACCTGATCACCGGGATATCACCTGATGCCCCACGCAGTATAACCGATTATGCAAATGACTTGCGGAACAAAATGAATGACGTTTATGAGCACGTCAGACAATCGGGCCAGCAAATGTCTGAAAAGATGAAAACCCGGTATGACCGCAAAATGAACAACAAAGGGTTCGACGAAGGTTCACTTGTGTGGTTGCACAATCCAGTCCGCAGCAAAGGGAAATCTCCTAAGCTTCAAGCTAAATGGGACGGCCCGTACCGGATTGTGACCAGGATCAACGATGTAACCTACCGGATACAGAAAGGCGCAAGAGGGACTCCTAAGATCGTCCATGTGGATCGCCTAACGCGTTATTATGGGACCGATAATGCTCGGGACGAGCATGTCTTAGGAGGGGGCAATGTTACGCGCTCCAATGCCTCAAATCGGCGCACTAGCGCCATCTAGTCTCGAACCGAAGAACTAAACTTCTTGAAGTTTAAAACTGGAACTCTCGGTACCTTGCGCGTGTTTACTTGAACATTCTGGATATTTTGCTAATTTATATAAGTAGGCGCTGCAAGATGCGATCGAAGCAGAGTTGAACTCGTCGACACAAGCGAAGCTTCGGAGCGGAATTAAGTGAATTAGTGTGTTTAATTATTAGAGTTTTTAGTTTTAATTTGAGTAAAGTAAATTAAAGTGTTAATTTAGGTAATTTTATCGGCAATTTTTATTGTCACGAACCTCAAGCTCGTAACAGTATTAAACCTGTTTTAAAAACAAAATTTGATCAATTTTTAAATCACGTTGATAAATTATATATTTTAATATATAATTTATCAACGTGCCATATTGCCCTTACCATTTTAAAATATAGTCTCCTTGTAATTAAATTTACATACTTGTTACGCTCAAGTCCAGTCTGGAAATGTTCAGATATTTTAAAATATATTGATAGTAATCTTAAAATTGGTTTAGAAAACATTCCAAATTTGAGATTAAATACAATAGCCTGGAATCAAGCCACTTTACCTATCAAATTTGGTGGAATTGGTGTAAGAAATATTTCTAGCGTCGCATTGCCTGCTTTCCTTGCTTCCGTGCTTAGTGTCAATGACCTATGTAACACAATTTTAAATAATAAAGTAGACCTGTGCTTTGCTTCGGAGGCAAAGCAAACATGGCTGACGCTCTGTCCCGGCGAAAATATCCCACTGGAAGTTAACCAACAAAAACAGTGGGATATTCCGTTGGTACGGAGTGTCCAGAAAAATTTATTTCAAAATTTCCATATTCAACAAGATCAGTCTCGCCTTCTAGCTGTTTCGACTAAGGAATCTAGCCACTGGTTACATGCTGTACCATCAAGTAACCTCGGCACATTGCTTGATGGGGAAAGCTTGCGCATCGCAGGAATCCGGCTAGGAGTGGCTATTTGTCAACCTCACCAGTGCCCCTGTGGTAGCAGCGTCGATGAGTTTGGGCTCCACGGACTTTCATGCAAGAAAAGTGCAGGTAGGTTTTCCCGTCACGGTTCTTTGAACGAAATCATCCGAAGGGCTCTTGTTTCTATAAATATCCCCTCGGTTTTAGAGCCTTGCGGGATATTTAGAGACGATGGCAAGAGACCCGACGGTATAACTTTGGTCCCTTGGGAGAGAGGTAAAGCCCTAGTGTGGGATGCTACTTGCGTTGACACTTTGGCGGCCTCTCATCTCAAGGGTACCTCTTTTAGAGCCGGGGCGGCGTCAGAGGCAGCCGAATTTAGTAATGGCGCAAATATGAGTCTTTAAGAAATTATTACATATTTGTGCCATTTGCTGTAGAGACTATCGGTCCGTGGGGTCCACGTGCAATGAAGTTTCTAAAGGAACTGTATCCACGACTGGTCGTCGCTGCTGGTGATAAGAGGGCTGATTCTTTCCTCGCTCAAAGGCTAAGTATAGCTATTCAGCGAGGAAACGCAGCCAGCGTTCTTGGCACTATACCACGGGGAGCAGGTCTTTTTGACGATTTAAATTTTTAGTTTTAGATTTTCTATATTATAGTTTCTTCTTTTATGTTGTATATAATTAGTTTTAATCTTTAATATTATAATTTTAATTATTATTTTAGTTAAGTTCTTTATTATAATTTTTGTAATATAAATTGAACGTTGATTAAAAATAAAATTTATCACCCGACAACAGCGACGCCTTTTGTGTCCAGGCAAAAAAAAAAATTAAAGTATTAAGGGCTATTAATTTTATCACTCCGTGTCAATATTTTCTTTCCCTTTATTTTATTTACTTAAATTAGATGTCAGATTTAAAGTTTTATCCTGTTATGAATTTAATAACCATTAATTTAAAGATGGTAAGAACATTGGACACTATATTAAAGTAAAACAATTGTAAATCAAGTAAATAATTAAAAGCCTAATAGAATGGTTTTATATTTGTTGAAATGGTTTTACATTTTGTTGAAAGCCTTAGGTAACTATGAATATCGTCCCTGACATAGGACACATACTATAATGTTTAATTTAGCTTGCGTTCGTGATTTATCTAATTAAGTAATTATAATTATGTAGGCTATTAAAACGTCGGCCAGTACTTCCACTTCAGCCCATCAAATATCCCACAGGTAGGACAAAGAGGACTCTTTGACTAATATTGATTATAATAATTTAATTTTCATGATTTTTTTTGTTTGAAAAACACTAAGATCTTAGAATTTGCTTATGCCAGCCCTAGTGGGGAAAAGTGGACGAGGTTTATTATATATATATATATATATATATATATATATATATATATATATATATATATATATATATATATATATATATATATATATATATATGTTAGACATACTATTAATTTGTCCTACCAAGTAACGATTAGTGGGGAAAAGTAGACAAACTCATTTTAAAGAGTTCAATTTGTCCCACCAGTGGGGCGGTTTAAAATGGGTTTTTATTGGAAAAATTGGAATAAACCCGCCAGTAGTTAACTTCAAAGAAGTGCAACTTCTGTACGTAGTACTATTATCTATTCTATGCCGCCGCGGGATCCGCGTTGAGCGTGCACGTGTACATAACGTTTAATGTAGGGGAGGTAGGGGAGGGATGGGCACTTTTCTACAATTTGATGCAGAAAAAACCAGATTTTATAGATAATCAACATTTAATGCCTATTCTTATTGCACCACATATTTGGCTAGATATCTTAGAAAGAACTTTCTTAAAATTATGATCAGTCTCAACATTATAAGATAATTTCTGAAACTCAGTCAAAGTGCCCAATGCTCCCTATGGCAGGGAGGTTTGGACACACCCTGTGGGAGGCTTGGGCATGGCCTATAAAATACTTAATATCCAAATATAAAACACTTAATATCTGATACAATCCAAAAATAAAAGTTAACAACAATAAAAACATCTAAAATACATATCTTAGCTTATCTAAGATTAGGTATAACCCATAAAGGTTTATCAAATGTGTACTTAGAGCTACCACGTTTGGTTTTATTGCATGTCTTTGGTTCTGGCAATTTAGTTTTGATGTCATCTAGTAGAACACAAGCTATGTCATCTACTTCAGGAAAAAAAAGGTGTTTCTTATCTTACTCAGCCGCATACATTTTATTGTAGCCATGGTATGACTGATGTCTTCGATTTGACCGACATAGTGCACAACAGTCTTTTTTTACATTAAATTTAACGAGCACATAATCATTCTTTTGAAAATTTCTGTCAACCATTATCACATCATCTTCATCTTACTCTTCTTCGGACGTGTCTTCAGCAAAGGATCCCTCAGAACTATCAGTGATTAAAACATTTTCTATGTCGCTATCACTACTGCTCATTTGCCTCTTCTTTACTCTATTCGATGTTAGTTCTGATGGAAGTTTAGGAATCTGTTTTTCCCCTGTGTTTTTAAGAACCTTTTTTTCCTGCCTCTCTTTCTTAGCCTTGCTCTTGATTTGCTTTTCTTGTTCTGCTAATTCTATTAGTCTTTTTTCAGGTGTGTCTGTCAATATTCTTGTTTTTGCTTTCTTCCTTGCATTTTTAATCAGTTTTCTTGGGCAAGCCTTTGGGTATGGTCTTACTATTTCAGGGGTTACAACTTCAGCGACTTCAATTGTTATTTGATCTGTAGCAAATGATGAGGAAGAATTGGCGACAGCAATGTTATTCAAATTAACAGGATCTGCTTCATTTTGATTTTCTCTTTCAGGGTGTTCTGGAATGACTTGAGTTGAAGTTGGCTGGATTATAGGGTCATATCTGGATGATAACGTTTCATCAGTTACGGGTGCATCGCGATCGGTGACAGAAGAGCAAAGAAAATCTTCATTCGAGAATATATTTGAATTAAAAGGCCATATCCCAGGTTTTTCAAATCCTTTTTGTATGTTTTGTGGTTTGAAAGCTAGAGGTATAGCAATGGCTGCTAGTTTGGTGATATCATAGATTGTTACAGTTTTTCCAGGATTGCTGACCATCCAATCTGTTAAAGCTTTATTGTAGTAATTTTTTAGTGGTCCATACACTGTTAAGTCAAGTGGCTGTAGTTTGTGGCTACAGTGTGGTGGAAAGGTCATCAGAACAATGCCAATTTCTTTACAAAAGTCTAAGACTTCCACAGAAATATGGCTCTCATAATTATCTAGGAGCAACAACACTGGATTTTCAGGCGTCGGTTTTGCATGTTTCGCAAAATGATGCATATATTTAATGAAATTTGAAGATGTCATCCATCCAGACGGATGTGTTGAGCCATCTGACCCAATGGGGGCATCATGAAGCATGTATGGTTTAAAATTTACTCTTGGGAATATGAAATACGGAGGTATTGAGTTTCCAATAGCATTGATTCCACAGCAAACTGTGACAAGTGAGCCTCTCTCAGCAGATGTTGCTTGTCCAACTTGTTTCGAGCCTTTTGAAGCAATAACTCTTTGTGTGCGCTGAACAGTTGTCAATCCTGTTTCATCTATGTTATATATAGCTTCAGGACCAAACTGATGTCGCTCAAAGACAGTTTTTAAATTTTCAAAAAAATTATCAACATTTGTTTTGTTAAAACTTGTTGCACGTGACAATGATGTTGCTTCTGGTGTCCGTATTGATAAATGAGATTGCCTATTTAAAAATCCCCTTATCCAGTCCTCAGATGCGATTTTGTTCTTGATCCAGTTATCAGGAATATTAGTTTTCTTTATGGCTACAGCATAGTCATAGGCCAATTTACGTGCTTGTATCTTTGTCAATCCATAATGATGTTTAGAACAAACTATTATGTAATTTGATAATTTTTGTTCTTCTTCGTCGGTGAAAATTTGTGAGGTTATAAATCTATGCGAAGAATCCTTTATAGAATCTTGTTTAAGGTACCGTTGCATACTTGATCTAGGAATTTTACATTTATCAGCCGTTGTTTTTATTTTTGATCCTTTTGATATCTCTTCTATGGCTCGTAATATCACATCTTTAGGAATTTCCCGTCGCAGACCTTTCTTTTTGAATTTAAATGGCATCTTTTTTGTAATTAAATATAATTGAAATAGTTTAATTAATGCAGGTAATTAGAATTTTTAAAAATCCTGCCATACTAGACTTAAAGGAAAAAGGCATTAGGCATGCCCAAACCCCTCTCACATCAGAATGCCCATTACTCCCTCCGTATACATTTTCAACATAAGTGATCGGTATTTTTTTTATTAAGCTATTTAAGCATGAATTTCAATTTTATTTATAGGTTCGTAAATATACAATAGATATACAATGAAAAGTAGACATACCTTTCGTTCGTTTTCTCTTTATCACAATCCGAAACCACAACAAAATATTTACTTTTACGAGCGCATAACCTTCAAACGTCTGTGTTTGACAACTGACAGAAATGACAGATAGTCTATGGATGAACATTGTTGCCAGTCGGTAAAGTAAACTATCAAAGTAGGGAAAAAATAAAATCTGTGACCGGACCAGAATAAAAGGGGGGTGCCCATGTCTCCCGACTGCCCGTCTCTCCCCCTACCTCCCCTACTGTTGTGTCGTATTGGATTAAATTAATATTGACGAGCATCTCCGTCATTTAAATTTAGTTGCCATATCCCATATTCGGGCCGTATTTCAGGGTATTGAAGAGACTTGGATAAAGTAAATGAATTCTATAAAGACACTATAGAGGTACTCATCAATAATAAATTACTCTGAAGTGATATTTTAACTCGAGTGTATTTTCACTTTGTGTGCAGAAATGCAGCGGCGCTCATTTATTTGTGTGACACAAACTGTCTGAGCTGTCGCAGGGGGCAGTCCGCACTACGTATTACATAGCACAGTGCAGTGCTCCTGAATTTTGAAGAAACGGACCTGCGCACGCTATTATGAACCGATGTACAAGGTAGTAATTGTTGTTGTAAGCATTATGTAAAGTACATAAAAGTGATTTTTCATATAATTTAAGCAGTCAAACTCTAACCTCTGTTCGGTACACAACTTTGTCATAGTTTATAATATTCCGAAGTGTAAATTAAATTAAATTAGTTTTGCAGCAGTAAAGGTGTCATTTTTTAAAAAGGACCCCAGGCGAGCCATCCTAACAATTTTGATGTCAGAAGTGGGATATCCTGGGAAAGCAATTAAAGTACTGGGATTCCTAGGTGTTAGGCGCGTCGCGACAAGGAATTCCTAGCTAATACTTATTTTGTTCCGTGAACCTTAGCGTTCATCACCACGGTCCTTGTGTAAGGTGCCAGCTGTCGACGGTAAGTCTTGGGTACATGTGCCTAAGCCCGCACAGTTGCACTTGTAGTTGACGATAAGACTCCGCTACTAAGAGCGAGCCCGCACCGCATCATTCAGAAACTCCTGCTACTCTATCGTGGTCGACGATAAGTCTCCACTTTCGAGTGTGAGCCCGCATCACAACTTCTTGCACTATCGGATCACCGGACAGTTTGACTCGCCACCAAAATCAGACCTTGCATCATCACCACCATCACCACGTGTAAGGTTTCTTCACGGACAACGCAACGTGACTTCGAGGTAGCGTCGTAATTTAAGACTTCCTGAGTCGTCGAATAGGTACTGAAGCCGCCGCCGCAATTGACGTCATCGCTGCAGTGTCGAATTGACTGACACGTTTTGGAAACCAAGATGTTCGTGAGAATCTACATTTTGTGAGTAATTTTTATATAATATAAAATTAAAGTTTTCTAAAGTTATTAATTAAAGTGAAACAAGTGAAAGTGATTTAATCTAAAAAAGTGATAACTTTTTAGATTAAATCACATCAAATGAGATTGATTTTAACATTAAGACATTGTATTTTAATACTTATTTGTTTAACATATTTTGTTGTGTTCTCATCGTACTGTATTTTAAAAATATTACCTATTAATTAATGTTCTCTAAAAAGGTAAAAGCTGAAGAAGCTCAGATAGTTCACTGTCGGTATCAAATCCAACACGGAAAAATATTAAATTATAAATGTCCGAAAAAATCACCCTTTCAGTCCTTATCAATTTCGTTAAACCCTACAATGGGGATCGCGAGTCTTTCCCAGCATTTCTTACGAATTGCTAAAATGCAATTTCATTGGCAAGTACAGACAAACAGAATGTTTTGTTTAAATATATTGTGTCCCAACTTGAAGGAAAAGCACAATTAGCTTGTTGCTTAAAGAAATTAGTAGTTGGCCCGAATTAAAACCATTTCTTAAATCAACATTCGGAGTGAGAAACATTCAACGCATTTACTTGTAGACCTACAAAATTGTAAACAGTTGCCTTCTGAAGATTTGACACAGTATTCATTAACGATTGAATCGTGCCTTACGCGGATCCAATCCGACATTCACTACAGCTGTGAGGATGAAAAAGAATTTTTAGGTAGACTTGCTAATCCAAATAAAATATGTGCATATTGCAAAAAGAAAGGTCGTTTAATATGTGAGTGTCGCAAACTCAAGTTTAAAACCAATAATATACGCCCCGATGAGTGTACTGCACTATCAAGTACACGAGTACCGAGCACTAGTAATGTGCCGGACAATAATCGCTCTAATGTACACGTTGTTTGCGCCTCTGAAAATAACAATGATAATTTAAACTAAACGGGGTTTCGGACAATAATCGCTCTAATGTACAAGTTGTTCGCGCCTCTGAAAATAACAATGATAATTTAAACTAAACAGGGTTTCGGTGCCGTGTCTGCTGGAACGTATCATTAATTTAAATGACATAAAAATTATTAATCTTCCTAAATCCCGTGTTCCTAAATTATCTTATAAAACACGGAGGCAAAAAAAATTGATGAACATTTTTTAATATTTTACATTATATTACTCGTTGAACATTGTTCAACGAGTCTTCAATGGAGTCTCAAGGTCGCACCTGTGGTCAATTCTAGGTTACACAGGATCCTAATTTTGATACACCTTCGTCTGAATTGATATGCTTCACTTCAAATAAAAGACTCGATTCCTGTGTTCCTGGAATTCCTGTGAAAGAAAACCACGGGACTACCGTAGCTGGTCACCCAGGTATAAAACGCATGTACAGTAAAATTAAATCCTTGTTTTATTGGAAAAATATGCGTGCATACATAGAACGCTTCGTTAAAGATTGTACACTATGTCGAATTAATAAGCCGTTGCGCACTTGTAATAAGGCACCCATGATCATAACGTCCTCAAGCACCAAGCCGTTTGAAAGATTAGCGCTAGATATTGTCGGTGTCCTACCTAAAGCGGGTCTTCAAAAATTTAAACGCTCCAGGATGACTTTACCAAATTTTCTTGCGCCTATCCAATGTTACTTCGACAACTGATGAAATCGCGCGTAATCTTATTCACTTTATTTCACTATTTGGGTTTCCTAAAATGATTCTAACTGATCAAGGTTCATGCTTTACTTCAGAGTTATTTAAGCAATTGACTAGCATTCTTAAAATAAAAAATATATTCTCGAGTCCATACCATCCCCAAACAAATGGCGCATTGGAACGTAGTCACGCTACCCTTAAAGAATATTTAAAATCATTTGTAAATGAGACCCATGACGATTGGCACTGTTATCTTGCTACTGCAATTTTATCTTACAATACCACTCCACATTGTACTACCGAAATTACTCCTTTTGAATTATTGTACGGACATAAGCCGTTTATCCCTAGTAGCATATACAACTCTGATGAAAATACAACCTATCACGAGTACATTCGCGCTCTACAATACGGAATGAAATACTCCCGCAAAAAAGCTTTAGAAAATATAAATAAAAGCAAGGAATCTTCAAAAAGGTACTATGATGCCTCTTCGCGAGAAATATCTTATAAAGTAGATGATTTAGTCTATATTAAACAGCACCATAGGTTGCGCAAGGCCCTGTCTCCTATTTGGAAGGGACCTTTTAAAATTATTAAGGTTAACAGCAAAAATAATGTTACTGTATGTATAAATAGGGAACACGTAAAATACCACATTAATGAAATAAAACCAGCGTAAATTATGTAAGTAATAATTGTTTCAGATTTCTCCTCCGATCGAGTTATTCAGAACCGATTGAACAAATTATACATAGTCGAGGGTTATAATTCGATCCGAATACTATGGCATACTTCTACAACGATTATTGAAATGTAGTAACATATGTAGAAATAATACCTATAAAGCCTTATTTAAAGAAAATTGATCAATATATTTCAAGCATGTCTAGTTTTTGTGAGAAGGCTCATAAATATAGATTGCAAAGATATTATAAACCCGTTAGAAATTTTAATTAACGCTAATTATCTTAAATATGACTCGTATATTATTTCCGAAAACCCTATTAATCGTTTTAAAAGATCTCTTGAATTTGGCGGTCAAATTCTAAGTTTTTCTTCGGTACATTAGATGCTGATGACGCCAGAAAATACGATGAAGCTATTTCTACTTGTCAGCATAATGAAATCATAGCTTCGACTGACAAGTAGAGATATATTCGCTAATGAAAGACAACATACACATTGTAATAACAATAATTTTAATGTTTCTATTCGTCAATTAAATAATAACGAAATTAGATTAAATAAACAAATAGAAAAATTCAATTACATATTTTCTGAAAATTCTAAAATTACTACAGACTTAATTAGTTCAGCAAAAATAAATTTTATTTTTAATGTGATTGAAGGTTCACTGCTATCGGTTTCAAACATATTAGATACAATTTTAAACTCTATTTTATTTGCAAAATCAAACATCCTCCATCCCTATGTATTAACTCCCACTAAGTTATTTAAAGAGCTCTCTAATAGCAAAATGAGCAAAATTAATGTGGAATTTCCCATTTCCTTATCATTAGAGAACATACATACAATTATTGATCTAGCCGAATTAACTTCGTATTACTATAATAATAAGATAGTATTTGTTATAAGAATTCCTTTAATTAACCCTATTAAGTTTAGTGTTTATAAGATTTTTACGATTACCTACACAGCATGATAAGTATAATTTACAAACTTATATTCTCATTCATCCTTC